CAGTGTTCAGAGCCCCCTCCTCAATCTGTCTCCAAGTTGTTTATGGTCTTGTGCCCTAGCAATCCCTCTTCCCTAATATACCCACTATGCCCCGAGGGGAATGGGAGCAAATAATCTATGGTCTGGTTGAGAAAAGGCTTGCACCGTAAAAAGTTAAGAGACAAACCAATGCAAGAATATATGAATAACAGTGCAACATGATATGAAAGATGCCACGGGCAGCACGGAATTATCAAGCCAGTGGGACAAGAGGTGCAGGCTCATGGAGGAGGTGGGCAATACTAATGCCTTGTGTAATCGAAGGGGAAAACAGACTTTTCGGGCCGAACATGGCTGCTCTCATGCTTTCTGTTAGTTCACTGCTGTTTTCCAAGCCCGTTATGTAATCTTGCTGAAGCACTCTTATGTAACCCTCTGGCGTCAAGCCAACTTTGTCCTTAACCACTATAAAACCTCTTCTGCCACTACCTCCACCCCCACTGCTGGGTGCAGAGATCTGCCCTGGTCCCCCTGCTGCCAAGGGCCACTACCTTGGTATGTACAGCTCCCTGATAATAAAAACTCCTTTGCCACCACACTGGAGTTGCCTGCCTCTTTCTTTGGTCTCTCAGCACCCTCTGATTTTGGAGGCAAATTTCATGTTATAGGTCCATGCCTGAACAATTGACAAGCCAGCCAGAAGACCAAAGAAATGGCAAGTGTGAGTGAGGCATCCATGGGGGAAATCCTGGGTTGGCCAGCGACCTCCACATAGGGAGATCTGGCCTGTATGCTTGATGCATGCATCCCACTTTGTAAGTATGGGGACACCCCAAAAATGCCAGGCTGCATAGCACAGTTGTGGGAAGACACCCAATGCAAAGCAAGAGTTAAATAGCAGGAAAAAATAAAAATAAAACCCTCTCTGGAAATTCTCTGATAACCACCCCCGCCAAGATAACTGAGCAGCAACATAGTCGCAGCGGCAATAGTAAGGGGAAAGCTAAGAGAAGGCCCCGCCTCCAGGTTACCAGGCAGCTCGGTTAGACCCACGCTTACGCTTAGTATGGTGGAGGCGTGGCTCTACAAAAGACTGAGAGCTCTGCCAACTTTACCCAGAGCCTCTGACTTTCAAAAATAATTAAGACTGAGGACTAAGCTGAGGTCCCTCTGTTGCCAGGAAGGGAAGTGCCAAAGGCAAGGATTAGGGCAGTGTTGATGAGAGGTGGCTGGGATGTAAAAAGGTGAAATCCGTGGGAGAGTGGATCCAGGGGTGAAGAGGATGTGGAAGTGACAGTGGAGGAGGAGTCTGGCAGTGCAGGGGTCCCCCCCACACACACGTGGCCGCTCCTGACTCACAAGATGAAAGCTACCCCGAACCCACGACAGGGGACAGTGTCTCTTTAAATGGAACCAAGACTGAGAAACCGTCCAAGGGCCCTTTGAAAGTGACACGAAGGCAGATGTAGATGAAGTTAGCAGCTGCCAGAAAGGCAGTGCATCAGATAAGGACTTGGTTTTGGTTAGTCTTCGGAAGGATCTGAAGCCTGAGCAACAGTATCATCCTCTGGGTCCTATTGCCCTTCTCGAGGAAGTGTCCCTTACCGCTGGGTGCACCCCGCCCATCCCTAGGGACTAGGGGTGGGGCCGAGGTCACCAGCAGGTCAGGGCCTGGCAGGGGGACCAGAGGCCCAATGCAGAGGTCGCAGTACATTGGTCAAGAACAAACAAGCAGCTGGTGCTAGTTCTGGTTGATTGGGGGGGCAAGTGCACCCTTGTCTTTGGAAACCCTGCGCGGTTTCAAAGACCCCCTTCCCTGCCCTGCAATTGATGGGTACAGCAGAAGTCCATCCGCATAAGCCATGTGTTTCTGACCCCGCAAGTGGGATGCTCTCCCGCTAAACCGTATCAAGTCTATATTTGCCCAATACCGGAATGCATTCTAGGGGTGGATGCCTCAAGGAACTGACTTTGACCACTTCTGTGGGAGAATTCCAACTGCGAGGGAGGGTGGTAAACAGACAGCCCTGAGGGGGAGTGCGGCATGGGAACCATGACCCTGCCCCCACCGGAAGGGCGGTAGACATCAAGCAATATAAGTTGTCCAGAGGACATAAGGAAATTAGCGAAACCATTTTAGAATGAAAAAGAGTAGATACCCTCCGGGAAGCCCACAGTGCTTTTACTAGCCCTGCGTGGCCTGTGAAGAAACCAGATGGGTCCTGGTATATGACTGTGGACCACAGAGAGCTTAACAAGGAGGTCCAAGCATAACTTCCTTGTTAGAAACCCTTAGTAGAGATCTGGGTACGCATCATGCTATGTTAGATCTGGCCAATGCGTTCTTCAGCATCCCTCTAGCCCAGTCCGCCCAGGACCAGCTTGCCTTCACGTGGGAGGGGCAGCAATGGACATTGCAAATGTTTGCCACCGTATAGTGGCTACAGATCTGATTCTTTTCCCCTTCCCCAACTGCTGAGGATGTCTGTTACTGGAGTGTCTAGACGCCCTCATTATCCACCAACAAGGGAGAGGATAGGACCTGAATCCCCACAAGGCACAAGGCACAAGGCACGGGAGCTGGGAGCATTGGTAAAATTCCTGGGGGTTTTCTGGTCAGGTAAGGCCCGTGTGTTGCCTGAAGCCATACACAAATGCTGTAGCTGAGGTATGCCACCACTGTGGACAGCGGTGGCTGTGCAAGCTTCCAGATACTATCTGGTTTGAAACCAGCTCAGGGCAAAACAGTCAATAGGCTGAATTAAGTGCTGCATGGATGTTTATGTTTATGCTTTTGAAAGAATAACTCGTGTGCATTTCTATGCATCTTTGCATTTTATTATTAGTGCGTCAGATATACCTTATGAGCTATAATGTTATTATTATGCCAAGGCATACATTTTCATGTAAACTTCACAAAAGATTTGTGAGATAAGTAATGAAGGTATTAGTATTGTCCCCATTTTATAGGAAAATTACACTCAGGGATGTTAAGTGACTTACCCAAAATCACAAAGCAGGCATTAATTTCCTCTGCATCCCTGAACATTGCCAGTAAACCAAAACCAAACCCACTGCCATCAAGTCGATTCTGACTCATAGTAACCCTATAGGACAGAGTAGAACAGCCCCATAGGGTTTCCAAGGAGCACCTGGTGGATTTGAACTGCCAGCCTTTTGGTTAGCAGCCGCACTACACCACCGGGGTTTCCGAGCATTGCCACTAGGTAGTAATGATTCTCAGAGACCTTTAAAAGGTTAACGGCGGGATAGAAAATCTGAGGGTGGAAAACCTGACTCAAAATTGTTAGTATAAATAATATTTACTGTATAGTATAAAAAGCCTTTTTTTTAAATTTTTATTTTTTATAGACTTTATATCTTAGAGCAGTGTTAGATTTACAGAAAAATTGCATAGAAATTACAGTTCCCGCACACTGTCTCTCCCCTGTGCACACAATTTCTTCTATTATTAACATCTTGTATTAGTGTGGTACATTTGTTACAACTGGTGAACCAATGTTGATACTTTACTATTAACTTAAGTCCATAGTTTACAGTGGAGCCCTGGTGGCATAGTGGTTAAGTGCTTGGCTGCTAACCAAAAGGTTGGCAGTTCAAATCCACCAGTTGCTCCTTGGAAACCCTATGGGGCAGTTCTACTCTGCCCTATAAGGTTGCTACAAGTCAGGACTGACTTGACAGCAGGAAAAAAATAAGTTTACACTAAGTTTCACTCTTTGTGTTGTACAGCCCTGTGGGTTTCGACAAATGCATAGTCATGTGTCTACCATTACAGTATCATACAGAATAGTTTCACCATCCTAAACATGTCCTGTGCTCTGGCTGTTCATCCCTCTCCTCCTCCCCCTGAACTCCTGGAAACCACTACTCTTTTTACTGTTACAGTGTTGCTGTTCCAAACTGTCAGATAGTTGGATTCGTATGGTATGTAGCCTCTTCAGACTGGCTTTTTTCACTTAACGGTGTACACTTAAGGTTCTTCCGTATCTTTTCATGGCTTGATAGCGATTATTGCTGAATAATACCCCAGTGCATGGATGTACCACAATTTATCCATTCACACACTGAAACACATCTTGGTTGCTTCTAATTTTGGGCAAGTAGTAATAAAGCTGCTATAAATATCTGGGTGCAGATTTTTGTATAGACATTAACTTTCATCTCATTTGGGTAAATATCTAGGAGCATGATTGCTAGACCATATGGAAAGCTCATGTTTTTAGCCTTATAATAAACTATGGCTATACCATTTTTGCAGTCCCACCAGTAATGAAAGAGAGTCTCTGTTGCTCCACAGTCTCACCAGCATTTGGCATTGTAAATACTTTGGATTGTAGCCATTCTAATAAATGTACAGATGCATTGGTGTTCAATGGTATAATTCTCATCTTCCGTGCTGGAGACCCAGGTTCACTTCCTGGCCAATGCACCTAATGCACAGCCACCACCCATTTGTCCGTCGAGGCTTGCATGTTGCTGTGATGCTGACAGGTTTCAGTGGACCTTCCAGATTAAGGCCGGCTAGGAAGAAAGGCCTGGCAATCTACTTCCAAAAATTAGCCAGCGAAAACCCTATGGGTCACAACAATCCCATCCTCAATCAATCATGGGGGTGGCACAGGACTGGCCAGTGTTTTGTTCCATTGTGCATGGGATTGCCATGAGTCAATAGGTAGTGGTATCTCATTGTTTTAATTTGCAATTAATTTCCTAATGATATATGACGTCAAGCATCTTTTCATACACTTATTTTCCATCTGTATATCTTCTTTGGCTAGGTATCTGTTCAGATCTTTTGCCCATTTTTAAATTGGGTTGTTTGTTTTCTTACTGTTGTGTTTTAAGAGTTTCTTTGTGTATTTTGAATACAAGTTCATCATCAGATGTGCATTTTGCAGCTTTTTTTCCTCCCAACCTGTAGCTTCTCTTTTCATTCTCTGAACAGTGTCTTTCACAGAGTGGAAGTTTTCAATTTTAATGAAGCCCGATTTATCAATTTTTCTTTCATGGATTGTGCTTTTGGTGTTGTATCTAAAAAGTTACTGCCAAACCCAATGTCACCTAGATTTTCTCCTATGTTACATTCTAGAAGTTATATAGCTTTGCATTTTACATTTAGGTGTATGATATATTTTGAGTTAATTTTTGTGAAAGATATAAGGTCTGTGTTTAGACTCTTTTTTTTGCATGCAGATACCCAGCTGTTCCAGCACCAATTGTTGAAAATAATATCCTTTCTCCATTGATTGCTATTGCACCTTTGTCAAAGATGAGTTGATTATATTTGTGTGGGTCTATTTCTGGTCTGTCTGTTCTATCCCATTGATATATTCGTCTACTGTTCTGCCAATACCACACTGTCTTGATCACTGTAGCTTTATAGTAAGGCTTAAAGTCAAGTAGTGTCAGTTCTCCCACTTTGTTCTTCTTCAGTATTGTGTCGACTATTCTGAGTCTTTTGCCTTTCCATATAAACTTTAGAATCAGTATGTTGATAGCCAAAAAATAACCTGCTGGGATTTGGTTTGGGATTGCATTGAATCTATAGACGAAGTTGGGAAGAACTGACATCTTATTATTGAGTCTTCCTAAACATGAACATGGACTGTCCCTCAGCTGATTTCTATCTTCTTTGACTTCTTTAGTCAGCATTGTTTCATTTTCCTCACAAAGATCTTATACATATTTTGTTAGCTGTATCCCTATTTTATTTTGGGGGGTGCTAAATGTAAATGAGGAGCCCTGGTGGTACAATGGTTAAGCATTCGGCTGCTAATTGAAAGTTCAAACCCACCTAGCAGAGAAAGACCTGGTGATCTGCTTCTGTAAAGATTACAACCAAGAAAACCCTGTTGGGCAGTTCTACTATGTCACATGGAGTCACTATGAGTTGGAATCGACTTGAGGGCATCCACAACAACAATGTAAATGGTGCGGTTTTTAATTTCAAATGCCAGTCGTTCATTGCTGGTATGTAGGAAAGACACTGACTTTTGTTTATTCACTTTGTATCCTGCAACCTTGCTATAATTGCTTATTAATCCCAGGAAGTTTTTTTGTCATTTCTTTGGGATTGTCTACATAGGCAATCATGTAAGCTGCAAACAAAGGCAGTTTAATTTTTTCCTTCCCAATCTGTATGCCTTTCACTTCCTGTTCTTGTCATACTCCATTAGTTAGGACTTGCCAGTATAATTTTGAATAGGGGTGGTGAGAAGCAACATCTTTGTCTTTTTCCCAACCTTAGGAGGAAAGCGTGTAGTGTCTCACCAAAAGCCTTTACATTTTAATATTTTCCATTTTCAGAATGTTTTGAGAGACTGGTTATTTTGTGCATACAGTAATGCCCCAAATCTTTCATACTTTTTGAAGAAATTAGAAATTTACAGCCCCAACTTAAAACAAAGTATAGATAATGTTCTAAAACACCATTAGCACCCTAATGTACAACACTATACAAGAAGGAATTTGGATACAAAGGTTAACCGAGAAAACGAATGTTCTAGCATGTCTAGTTCTTACATTCATTCTGGCTTGACAACAATGAGAAGGACAACAAAACCATTACAAACCTAAACTGCACTGAGGGATTGACCAATACAAACTGAGGAGTAAAACATTATTTCTGTTCCAAACAAAAGTCAAAATTAGGGACACTTTTAAAAAATTAACAACTCTTGCTTTAAAAAAAATTCTAACTTCACACTACCCCACACTCGCACTCAATTCCCCAACACTTGAGTTTGTAGAGAAAAGCAAAACGGAGTCAGAAAATAAGAACATGTGGGAGAAAGCCAGAGGATAATCTGTGGTGCCAGGACAGTATAAAGGTAGGCAGTTTAACTGGGAAAAAAGCATGAACATGGATGGCAGACTGTTGGAGCCAGAGGGAAGATTCAAGGGCATCTGGTTAGCCCACCTTCCTCATCTGATGGAGGGAAACATGAGACACTGTGTCCCAGAGAGAATTAAGGGACTTGCCTAAAGTCTCCCAAAGAGTTAATGACTGCCGCAGCTAAAACCCACGTGTCTGGATTCCCTGGTTAGTGTTCTTGCCAATACTCCATACTCTAGAAGTGTTGAATGAGATGGGCAAGTCAGAACACCAGCATTTTAATGGTTACACACTTTCTTCTTGCTTTCTTTGATATCCAACCCTTTATGTACAGAGAGAGAGAGAGCACTTTAAAATGCTGAGTCTCCTTCTACTTCTGAGAGCACCTCTGTCCTCGACGGTGTGTGATCTATTTATGCCTTCTTTACAGAATTGTTTTCTAGCTCTATTACCGGATGTTCCCAACCGTGAGCTCTGAACCACCACGGTCTTCCTCTGAGAAGATGTGCCTGTTCCAGGCACATGGCCTGACCCTACTGAATCATCCTCACAGGTACTAGGTGGCTCAGGCCTCTGAGCAAAGTAAAACATAAGGCTTAATGTGGTCACAGGGACCAGCCATGTCCCAGAAGACAGTACATCTCTGCTGTTTTCAAAAAATCTTAGACAGGAAACGCTTTGAAGTGTTGCCGAAGAAGGTGCATTATTAATAAAAACAAAGCAAATCTGTTTTGCTTGACCTGGCGGAGAAATATTTTTAAAGGAGTCCATGTGTGAATCAGCTCTTCCTGGGTCAAGGGAACCTGTGTAATAACAGCAACACCTATCAGTGAGTAAGCACTTCTTGTGCGCCAGGCACAGTCATGCACATCTTTTTAACACAACATCCCTGTATGGTAGGTATTACTACCCTCATTTTACAACTTGGGCTTAGAAAGATTAATTAACTTGCCCATAGTCCCATAGCCACAAAGTTGCACAATAGATCTGAACCCAGGATAGATTCACTCCCAAGTCTCTGTTTCTTCATCCCTACTTGACCTCTGAAACTCAGTTTTTCATCTATAAAATAGGGATAATCAGACGTTGAGGGTTTCTGTGACAATTCTAGATACTCTATGAAAACCACGTAGAGCAGGGCCTGTGTGTGTATATCCTAGACACAAAATGTACATGCCCTATCCAGAAATCACCATTGCATGACTTCAATTTAATTTGTTGAGCATTATCTGGAGAAGTAACTGATTTGCAAGGCAGTACCTTAAGCAGAAAGATCATACATCCAAACACTGAACAAAACTCAGGTCTCTTTCAGCCTGAGCACTACCTGGAAGCAGCTCTCTCAAAGAATGAGCACAGGTTAGTTTTCAAAAGGAAAGAAAAGAGTCAGTGGGCACAGCCTAGAAAGGCCAGATTGTTCAGGGTCCCTCCAAACCATGATTTCAATAGCCCAAATGTATTCAGGAGTATATTTTCCTACTTAAAAATCAGAACACATGCCTTTAGAAGTGTGTTGTGATTTTTTTATCAAGGTACTACACATAAACAATAAAGTGCCCTAGTCTTTTTCTTAATTGTTGTAAAAATACATATAACACAACACTTGGCAATTCAACATTTTTCGGGTGTACAGTTCAGTGACATCAATTACATTACTCATGTGGTGCAACCGTCACCCATAATCGTTGCCAAATTTCCCACCACCTTAAACACTCACTGCTTCCTAAATAATGGCTCCCCCTACAGTATCTTAATCTTAAATGTACGCTAGATGATTTTTGTACATATGGATGCATTCCTGTAAACCCACCTAGATTAAGATATGAAACATTTTCAGCTCCCCATAAGGCTCCCCCACACGTAGAAGGAATTTACAGTCAACAAAGAAACAACAGCTAAAATCAGAGCTGAAAACTGAAAGCTAGCAAGGAGCTTGGCAAGCCGGGCAATAGAGAGGCTGGATTCGGAGGAGGGTGTTAGGTAAGACAGACACACCTGAATTTTGCCTTCTCCCTTCTAACAGTAGGTGTCGAGTGCTTCTGTACGTTCACATTTATTATATCCCTCGATGCTCACAACGACTCTGATGTAGCCAAGACTTAACCCTCCTTTGCACGTGAGGAAACAAAACTGTTTTGAGTGTTGGAAGAGAACACCCTCAGCCAAAACAAGAAAGAACTGGCTCCCTTGAACTTGCTCAGCAGATCCAGCCACGTGGCACAGGGAAAGGTGAGGACGTGGCGTCAGGTTACCTGGCAGCGCCGTGCCCCCCCGGGCTCATTGGCTGGCGCTGCGGACCGCGGGTATAAAGCTCAGGCCGGCTGTCGTACCCGTCGCGCGCCCTTTGAACTTCCCAGAGGCTGCACGCCTCTCCCTGTGGGAGAGAGAGGTAGAAAGGGGCAGAGACCGACCGATCGGACGCCGAACTTCAGGTACATTCGGAGGGCCCAGTCGGCTTGTTTAACTTCCCAGGTGTCTCGTCTGAGGCTTTTGCGCCTAAACGAGGACAGCAAACGGCAGTTTACTGGGAGAGATGATATTTTAAATCTCGCTGAGGGCTAGAGTGCAACAGTCCAAGGATTCAGTGAAGGACTGCACAACGCAAAGTGTCTCCTGACTCGGTAGACAGAGCGACCAAGGTTAGCCGCCAACATTTGAAGAATCCCTGCCTTAAGCCAGCGAGGGCAGATCGAGGTGAAAGGAACAAGCCTCCAAGTGTACATGACAACGGAGTGGAGACAGGACGGGACAAGAACGATTGCTTTTAAATCACTGAAAAATAGTGAGCAATAGGGACGAACAGTGCAGTCGGCCTCGCCCCGGGAAAAGCAGGAGGAAATACTTCTAAAGGAGAAAAAGGGACAGGAATTGTTGCGCCCCGCGGGGCTCACTCTGACGATAGGTGTGCGCTTAGCGTTGCAGCCCAACCAGCTCCAGCTGAGGGTCGCCCCTGCCCCGCTTCTGGCGCCTCATGTGGTGTCTGGAGCAGCTCTGCCTGGGACCCGAGCGCCTCCTGCGGCGTGGGGACTGGCTTCTCCGGGGACGGGCCCGTCGATCCACCGCCGCCCGGCCCACTGCGTTTGCCAACGTGCTCACCCCGGACCGCATCCCCGAATTCTGCATCCCACCGCGACTCGCGCCTAGTCCGGGCCCAGCTGCGCTCCGAAACTCCTGGGGCGAAGAGTGGGGGACAGATGAGGGCGCCGGCCGCACCGACTGGGACCCGCGCTCGCAGGCCGCGCTCTCGCTGCCGCACCTGCCCCGCGCGCGCACCGCCTATGGCTTCTGCGCGCTGCTCGAGAGCCCGCACACCC